CACCAGAAGACGTCGTTGAAACCAGACTAGCATCTGCGTGGTAATTTCATTTATGACATGTTGTAGATGATTTGCGTAGTTGCGTGTTCAATATGGCTGCAGAGCTATCAGTACAGCAACAATTTGCGGTCATGATTTTTGAGTTCAATTCAAAACTGGATTTCCTGAATTTAAGAGCTTAGATCACGTGAGATTTATAATCATTCTTTGTAAAGCCATGGACAATCGCATCAATTTCGCTATCCAAATGTTTGATTATAGAGAACCTTCTCTTCTCCATCAAGACCGTGCTTGACATCAGACCAGAATGAAAGAGCAATTTGATCAAACCTCCTGAGCTGAACACCCTGAATGAGATGGACAATACATCAGCACTCGAATTAAACTTCCAACTTCATCAAACTCAACTTTTATACATGAGACTATCAGCAACTTTTGCGATGAGTAGAAACGCTGTCTCCCAAAAGATACTTGCGTGGAAATGCCCTTTTATTCTTTGTTTCAATCGAGGGTTTAGCCGTGCAGCCAGTTAGGATTACTTCTGACATAAAATTAATCATGAAATTAACTCGGCTAGTGTAAGTTGCAAATAATCGATACTGAACTTGGAAGTTCACTTGCTTCTAATGTGACCAATTGTGCTGCACTCGACACGAAGAGATAACTGTGTTAAGTGCCTGGAGAGGTACTGCCAAAATCCTCCCAAAGGGCATGACAACAAGAGGAAAGCCAATCCTACACAGAGCGACGAAATGGTCACTGGAATTGCGTGAAGACACTGGAAAAAATGGAGAATACCGCAGCATGTAGATTTGGGACTCAATGTGGTTTGCTCATAGATGATCATTGAATCTACAAGATAGTTTGTCAAGGGAGAAATGATGGTCGAGAGAGCAGGTTGTTTTCAGGTTATGAAGCAAAAATTGTACCCATTTTGGAACCATTTGTCATAAAGCCCAGCACGTTGTCTGTGGAAGGCCGGCAGGAAAGTTGCTTACATGCCATCCTTCCACATGAGAGCTGCTTACATACCAGCATTCCACACGTACGAAGGGTTTGATCGAGATGCAGGAGCAAAACTGTGAGGCGGATTACTTTTAACGCAAACGAGACGACTCGGTCTGGTTTACAGATACAGAGTATGTTAGGTAAGGCTAACCTCCTCACCAAAATTTGTACAAACCCTGTCATTAATTTGTGTACCTGCTCTACATCAAAGGACATATGTCTTAGCTATTTGGCTACCCCTATTCTTTGTCAATGTGTACCAATTAGAAAAACTTGCAAAATTTTAAGCAGATGTGATCAATATGAATGACTGTGGTAGTATTAGTACAAAGGTTTAGGCTATATGCACACCTTAAATTGCAATATATACATCCATTATGTTTATATTCATATTTAAGGGCTTTAATTGGCTATCTTACTTATTTTCTATAAATAGATTTAGAAATGACTTCTTTCCCCTCTTCTTTGCCTCTATATAAATCCCAAATTTACTTCTCTTTCTTCCTGTCTTGGTGTGGGTCTTAGACCTCCTCCTTCTCTTTTTTATTAATTACTAGTCAAATTAGCAAATCAATAAATATGCTATTCTCTAAAATATATGCATAACATCTTGGGATGTGCATGTAACAACTTTGGATGTCCTAGTAGCCGAGCCTTATTTTGATACTACTTGACATGAAGTATTGTATAATTGAATCTAAGCTATAATCTTTGAGGTCTTAATCAAAAAATAGAAGATGTAGTATCTTTAGGTATAAAGGCTAGAACCAAGTTTTTTATTATTTATATTAAAAATTACTAATTAAATAAAACAAAGCTTATAATTTTATAGACTTGTATATCTTTTTTTATTTATAATAAATATTTTTTTATAAAATTTAGTTTTTTTTATTTAAATTCTATTTTTTGATTAAATAATTTTTTCTTTATGGATCTTATATAAGCAAATCAAAGCTTAATCCAAGAATATATCTATGTATTAATTTATTCATTATTGATGTCTTTGTAACTTCTTTTAAATAAAATATTTGAAATACTATCAAAAGTGATTCATAATTTTAATAATATTATCAAACATTGAGAGTCTCTTCAAAGGTCATGATACCAAATGTGTTATATCTAGCCATTTATTTAAAATTAAAAAAAATGTCAATCTTAAGATTCTTCATTTCTATTACGTCATCATAAAAGCTATGATAATCTCAATATTTTATATGATAACTCAACAAATGATAGTTCTTGAGTTGAATTTATTAGTTGTTTATTTTCCATCTCATTAGTATCATAAATACAAAAAATCTATAAACAAAAATAGAAGAAAGAATACAATCTTTATTGAATCCATTTTTCTTTTTAACAAAGTTTTTTTAAACTCATTATCTTTATTTTGATACATGTTGTTGATAAAAAAGTATTAACATACTGTATTGTATTTGTAAGATTCCCAGATGGCTTCTATGTGTGTTCACTCATATCTTATCTTCATCAATGTATAAGATATTCCAACTTGTTTTGGTGTCACTTTGAATCTTAGAATCTTAGATCTATTCTACTTCAAACTCATGATTATTTTCCATTTTCATAAAAAGAAGTGGCGTCTATTTTTATTTTGGTATATTTATTGTCTTGTATGGCTCTAAAAGAGAGACATTAAATATAAGACATATCTTCATAGACTTTGGTATAGGTAATTAATATGAAATTTGATTAATTTATTTACAAATAAAAAATGATCTAATTTTATGGTCATCCAATTAATCACAAGGAGAAATAATCTTGATATTGCAACAAAACAATTATATGTTATTGATGATGTATAATTGAGATCATTCGTTGCAATAAGCAGCTTCATTGGTCTACATTGTTCTTAAACTTTTATCACTTATACATTTATTATTGCATACATCATTGATAAATAATTTGCCAAATTCTTAGCAGTAGGATTATTAATTTTAGAAAAGTCAAAATCATCAAATTATGGATGTTAATCATAATTAGCATAGAATAGTAATTATTGAAGAGAAGAATTCATTGTAGTATTGTAGGCAAACTTTGATAATAGAAAAAAAGTTGTCAAATCATCTTGATGGCAATTAATGGTGCATCTCAAATATTCCATAAATACTTGATTTATCAATTATATTTTTTTATAAGTTTAAGGATGAAAAGCCAAAGATACTTTTATATCTAACTTTAATATCTTAATTTTTTTTTTTTATAAAATCTAGATATAGATTGAGATACTATATTTGATATAATATCTTTTAGGAATCCATGACAATAATAAATATTATCAATAAAAAATTTAGTTATTTTTATCTATCATTAATTTTGTATATAGAATAAAAATGTGCCATCTTAGTGACACAATCTACTATCATAAATAAGAACATACCTATATTAAAAATTGAAAGATCCACAATAAAATCCATGAAAAATAAATAAATATAAAAAACTATTTTTTTAATATTTATAGCAATAAAAAAATTGTTTAAAGGTGTTAATAAGGAATATTTAATATTGAACAAATATCACATAATTTTACAAAGTCTTTAATTGCTTTTCACATTTGATCTCTTGGAACTAATTCTAGCTTCTTCTTGAATCTAAAATAACCTACAACTTGAAATATATGACTAGCTTAAAGAGCTTGTAATGTCACAAATATAATAAATAATAGTAATTATTTAAATAAGAAAATTAGATATAAATAAATAAAATTAAATAAATTACATAATATCTTGTAGATCCACTTATTAATAAGAATTTAAAGAAGTTTTCATCATCTTTTATGATTTTTATTTTCTTTTTTATTTTTATTAAATGATTAAAAATAAATAGATGTCATTTTATCAAAGGATGCAATATATGTGGAATTTCATAAAATGACATCTATTGATTTTTAAGTATTTTTTTATAAATTTATATATAAAAATTTGATTTTTGATTAATTATTTATCAAATATTAATATTCTCAATATAATATATTGTATTATTTGCATGATGATCTATCAACATCACTTTTTATTATATTTTTCTTGCTAGTAGATTATCTATAAATTTCAATCTATTTATTAACATATTATCAAAGAAATATTTTAGCATTTAAAAAGTTTATGCTTTTATGTTATTTTTTAAAAAAGGTGATATTCTACACACGACATTTATAGTCACATACAGTTTGTATGATTTTGAAACAGTGAACTGGTTGATAAATAATGAAGTTTACATATATAATAATTACTTGTAATTTTTTATCAAAAAGAAATTATCTTTTTTGAAAATTACCAAACTGCTTTTGTTGATACTTGCTAGTTTAATGCTATATGAGAAGCCATGAGAGTTGTTCATAACTGTTACCTTCATAAACCTGAATATTTCTTAGTTAAAACTGGTTTCTACAACAAAATTTGAAATTTAGTGCATTTGTATCCCTAAAAATAATTGTTAATTTGACTCTTGTTTTAATAAATATGGTTTCTATCCATAATTTTGTAGACATCCTTTAATGATGTTACGTACAATTCAAAAACATCTGTCCAAATATTTTATCGTCATTTAGCTATGAAAATAATAAAAGAGTGATATACTTTATCATTTGATTGAATTTACATTGATAATTCTAATGATTCTGATTAATTGACGTTGTGTGTATGCACCTGTAACAAGATCAACCTTGCCAAAATAAGAAAATTCTCAGTTGCTTCAAACATATTGCAATAGAATTCATTTTGTTTTGTAAATTTACTTTTTAGTTCGTCTATTTAAAGAACATAATTGAAAATCAATGAAAATATGTTTTCTAGTAAATCCCTCAGTCGAACTAACTGCATGCTAATAGTTAGTAGTTTGTCACTTTTAAGGACAACGCTTATTGAAGGTTGTATTTATTGTGAATCTTTTGTCATACACTTCAAACAGGACATTTGTTATACAAATCATACAACTTTGCAGTGACTGGAAAGAGATGTTTACACAGTAATCCTGAAAAATTGTAGAATAGTTCATTTATTCTAGTTTTGGTATCTGAAATATCCAGTACATCTCTCTGGTTGATACAACTTCAAAGTGGTGTTGTGAAGGAGCTAAACAAACTGTGCCAAGTGGCTACTACGTCGACAATCTAGCAATTGAACAAACTTCAAGGACACATTTCTTAAGATGCCGGAATGGATCAAAAAGCTTACGTCAGACATGACTTGCTTGAAGAGAACTCTAATTATTATTCTTTGATATCACATTACAAAGTACATAAGAAACCACTACACGAGTATCTCCTGTCAGCAGAGACTATGCGGAATCTTGAACTTCAAGGACAACCCTCTTATTAAACCTCTTTGAGTTTAATTATACGCGATTTTTACAATGTGGAAGGTCCAATACAACGTAAAGCAGTGAAAAAAAGCAAAATAAAATATTGACCGATGAGTAGCGATGATTTATAATACAATTCACATCCAAAATGAACTAAATGCCTAAATGAACCTGGCTGAGGTGAGGGAAATCAATCGTCCATCGGATCATCAGGAATCTCCTTAGGATCTCGCTTGATCACAATTACAGGACATTGGACATGTTTTGCGACGTAAGCGCTCACTCCAGCCACAAACAAACTGCACAGAGAGTTAACTTCTTAGACTTGCTTTCAACATTGAGTTCATCAAAAAGCAAAAAAACTGGAATTCCTCATCAGACCTATGGGGACCACATAAAAACCTAGTATATGTCCTTGAACTATTCAATATGCATAAAGAAGTACACACACACACACACACACACATATATATATATATATATATATACAAATAAATAAAGAAGTATCTGTCCCTAAAAAAATTAGTACTTTTGTCTTTCTGTAGGAGTAGAAATTCATTGAATTCATGCCACAAATTACACTAAGTTTGATTGGCAAGTGAATACAGTCAGTCTCACCCACCCCAGGGTTTGCTGCGCCGATTCAATAGTGGACATATTCTGCTCCAGGCAGAGGATAAATTGTTCGTGTATGTACTTCCTTACAAGCAATTCTACTAATTCAACAGAAAGGTTCGCATTCAATTTCTAGTGGTTTTAGCTCTGTTAGATAATCAATAGAAACGTTCGCGACCCGTTTCTAGTGATTTTACATGAATAAGCTGGATAAAAACTAAAAACAGCCAAATACCAGAATGTACGCAAGTCTTGGTATTATTCAAAGAAGTTTCAATTCATTTTCCCTTACCTTTGTATAGTACCAAGCCCACGACTGCCCAGAACAAGTAAATCAGGCTTTCTCTTCTCAACATGCTTGCAGATAATTTCCTTTGGATCTCCGTTCTTTATATATCCTTCGCACTCAATCTGCAACCATTACATTTAGCTAGTTCTCGGGTTGAGTATACACTCCACAAAACGACCGCCAAAAGCAGTTAATTTGAATATTATTCTTCACAGCATAACAAGCTCAGGCTTATTCTTTTCGAAACATGTTACATAAAATAAAAACTAGCTGTCCAATCTTCCCACAGTAATGGAGACATGCATAGGGAACTATTGACAGAAAGATTAAGGAGGACGTTACTTTGGAAGCCCAAATATCATAAATGTAGTTTTAGAGAGCAGTACCTCCAAATCGTTGCACTTCTTGACAAATATTTGAAGTAGAGCTAATCCTCTACACAGTTCCTTGTGTTTCAAGTGCTGGAAGTCACTCTGGCTTGCATACACGCTGTCAAGTTCTTCCAATCCTGATCATACCAGGTAATAAAATATTATACACAACACAGCTAATTGGAAGAAATGAAATTTAGATGAAACAACGCAATTAATAATTACAAGCATGTGATATTAAATTCTGCAATGTCATAGATGATATAAATCAATCTTAATTTTCAATCAGTGTTGACTGGCAGCGTCTTTTGTACTTTCATACAAGGGAAGTAGAATACTCACCATCTTCATCGGCCACTTGAACATGTAGAATGATCACTTTGTACTGCTTTCTACAGCAAGGCTTGATGAGGTTCTTTAAGACCCAATCGAAAGCATGGCGACTACTGATGGAAGGCTTCGGATAGCCTTTGCTACACTGGTTCACGGCGATCATCAGTCTTGTCTTGGGTACATCTTCTGTCACTGATGTAATTTCTTTCGTGAGAGCATCTTTTTTCCCAGGTTCATCTCCTGTCGTGTCTAGCTCCTTTACTTTTGGAGTTTCGTTTTCTGCCATCCTGTTTGACCATAGAGTTTCTACTTCTGTCATTTAAGACTCTCCCAAAACCAAGTTCTGGAATCAGATGAACACTCAAAATATAATGAAACGAAGATCATTTTTAGATTAACAGCAACCTGACGATCATTCATGAATACAAGCAATCTTGACCAGGAAAAGAAGTTAATAAATGGACACGTTGACTCTCTCAATTCCCTTTCCTGTCCTGGACAATCAATGATACAAAGAATACAACTCTAATCTAGCCAGAATAATCCATGAGATGTCACTCAAGATTTTCACATTGTAAGCCACTGGTAGCAACCAGTAAACTGAACAATAACAGATCAAGTTTCCATCACAACCAAGACAACTGTAAACACCCAAATTGTGTGCTTAAGGAATTGTCCGACGACCAGCGATCACCATACCGGGTGTACACTAGTCAACCATTGTAGACACCGAGCAATTCTTCGTAAAGTAGATGAGATTCCATAGCACAATCAAATGCCTAAAAGCACCTTAAAGTATTTGAGAAAAATGGACTGGAACCGCCTGCAAAAGCGGAATTCAGTAGTTTGGCCGATTCTGTGGTATCGACTTGAAAGTTGAATGCGCCAAGTCCGCTATGAGCTGCAAATCAGACATGCTTAAACTATTTTGAGCTAAAACTACTGTGAGCACATACTTGTTAGAAATTTTATAAAGTAAATCGCCCACGTAGTCAGCACCAGACACTCATCCTCTCCACCTTAGACTGCGACATATCGTAACTCCAAAAGAACAACGAACAGAGCCCAGTGAGCAAATTACTCAAACACACTCACTCAGCGTCAAACAATCGCAAATTTTAACGCGATCGAGACACAGCCACACCCCCACGTCGACACACCTCGACCCGACAACAACAAAGTCTTCCACGTGACAATACAACTGCGACACAATGCACAATTGGGAGTGCCAGGGGATTGAGGATCAGGGCCGAGACTCACCGGTATCAAGACGGGAATTGACCCACGAGCACCCGAACTCCGACCTTGAAACCTCCGCGCTGTGGTTCACACCATTCGTGCTGTCCCGCTGCTGAGACTGCACACGAACCTGTGCGCTCCACACCCACCTCACCCCGACTCTGCTGGGCTGTGCTATGCGGCAAGTGGAGTGTGTGTTTTGGCCGTTGCAGGCAGCTGCACGAAGCGTGGGAGACAGATGGCGGCGAAGAGCATCCCGGAGTAGGTCCACGTCAACTCAGCACCACAAGTCGCGCCGCACCGCGCCGCGGCATGCCGGGGATTGCCGTGACGCGCCGACGACAATGCTGCGCGAGCGCCATCTCGTCTCATCGCGTCACTTAGCGTCGTCGCGACGCAGTCGCGCTCTTCGAAGAGAGCAAGAGGGCCTATTTTTAGGCTTTGGGGACCTGATCCATACCAATGGCTGGGTGAAGATTACAACGTCTGACTATGAAAGCGCATGTTGTGATAATTCTTTTTTTTGAAATGAATAAATAACTGCCTTTGATACATGAAGGTGGATGTGTCTTGTTTCTAAGTTCCAGAGTTTATTTAATGAAAAACTGTGAGAATTTTAGGTGTTGAATATTGTTTCATTTGAGTGATTAAAGGATATTTTGGAATTTTTTTACTTTTCTGATATTACGTCATGAGCATACAGATAAATATAGATAAAGTGAAATCAAATATTTTATAAACATGACATAATGTAGTAATAATATGCATAACAATAGTTTATGTTTATATGTATTTAAACATTAAATATATATATATATATATATACTCAACTACATGAGATGATTTAGAGTTGATTAATACAACACCATATAGTCACAAAAGAATTAAATCACAAGCATTTCATGTTAAAATTTGGCATTGGTCATTTAAAAAAAAAAAAAAAAGAAAAAGGATAATAATTTCTTACCATTAATATAGAGTCACATGAGTTTTTATTGTTTATGATTTTTATGTTTGGTGATAAAGCATTCTTTTAATGAAATATTGGGTCAAAATACAATAAAATATCATATTCTATACTCTAAACAACATATTGTATACTTACAATAATCAAATTATGAACAGTAAATTTCCAAAAGTTTTATGAAATTTTAAATTTACAGTCACTTTAAATGTGCAAAATTCATATGCTAAAAATAGACATTTCTGTTTTATACATATATCTGTATTTGAAAATCTATGTGTCTGAGCTTTGAGTTGATGCAACGTCTATTGTGGTTCTTTTTGCTTCTCTTGTGGTAATGATTTTGTTGATTTACATTGAGGTGTTGAATATGTGATATATAAAAATTATTGAAATAATACTTTTTAAACTTAATTTTAATTTACGTTATTGTTTAATTTTAAAATAAATTATATGGTAATAGACCCAGAGATCTTAATATGAAAATTGTATGAAGGATAAAGTTTTGATTGACAAGTGGAGTGGACATTTATATATAAATACGTATACACAACAAGACAACACTCAAACATATCTTAAACTAACTGTAAGATCTGATTATGTGATTTTGATATCAAAGCAAATGCAATCTTTAATTTGAATGTATTTGCATACAGAATAATATCTGAATATTCAATCGCAAAAATCAAAATTCTCAAAATAGTTCAGAAAATATTCCTCTACATTATGGTTATATACTTAAATTAAATGAAAATTCAGGGCATAATATTCTTTGAGTACGTGATGTTTGAGTGAAGAGCAATATTTATTTCCTGATATTGTTGTATTGTCTCTGAGCTTCTGGAGACTTTTGTTACAATGTGGTTTGTTTTTGCTCTAAGCATGAAGTTTGATTACTTGACTTGTTTAGTTATTTTCTTTCATGAGAGAATTGTGAGTTGCTTTCAATTGCAAGTAACACAGCCCTAGGAGATAAAGCAGCTTTGGTTGGAGCCTACTGGTGAGGTTAGTGAGGGGTGGAAAATCAAGGAGAAGACTCAGAACTTTGCTGAGGTTGTGCATTCGGTGGAGTGGATCCCGTCGCCGGGAGCGAGAATGAGAATCTGCGGTTGAATTGTTTTTGATGTGGACATTTGCAGTACAAGGACGGTGTGTGAGAAATCGGCGCATGGTGACACGGAGGAGATGCGGCGTTATGGGTTGGTTGACGAATGGGTTCCTTCCCGAGGCGAAGCTGGTGTAGTGGTATCTTAGTACCCTCCCACGGTACTGACCGTGGTTTGATTCCCCGGCTGCGCACAGACTTGGCTTGTAGTCGCGGCCGCAGCCGTTTCTGGCCTTTCTGCTCCAGCATTTCTCCTGCAAGGAAGCAAAAGGGAGGGATCATGCGGCACTACATTTTTCATTGAGTCAAATGAAGAAGGAGCAGGTTGCACCCTAAAACCGTGCCCAATCATATCACCGCCCACATACATGACGCGTCCCCCAGCGGCCCTATGATCCAGTTCCGAGCACTCCCCCGCAAACGCTATGGCTCATCTGCCCACCGTCCATGGGCAGAAAGGATGAAACATAGTACACAACAGATTAAGTGGTAAAGACAAACTGCTGATTTTTGTTAGTAGCTATAGGTGTTGGCATTCATTTATAGCACTCCGACTGTAATTCTTGAATAACTTACGAAAACTAAGTTTCAATTAAACACCGCAGCAGATGATTCCATTATAGTCGTTATCAATGGCTTAGAAGACTATCTGACTGTCTAAATACGGATTAGAGGATGAATTAATAATGTAGCCCATTCCACAACTTCGACCATTTGCATTCACTCAACTTCATCTCATGAATCAGAAGTATGTAGAAATGTCCTGAGTTTGTTGCAATTAGGAGTATCCTAGCACTTGTGAACCCATCTTTAAAAGATCTTACCTGTCAGAAACTTCTTCCAAAGCTTGTCGGTGTTTGATCAAGCAATCAGGATTCTACTACAATGAGCGTCTTGGCATTCCTATGCGCAGGAGCTACAACTGCCATTGGAGCTGCAGCAGTACTCTCCTCTAAACACCCCATTAGGTGAAACCTAATCGACATTCTTGCAAGGATCTGCTATACTCAGTCGCATCTGAAGAGAGCATCAATTATTAAGGCCGCGGAAATGAACAATGCTGGCATGAAGATGAAACAAACGGGTTCTTTTCCACACAAAACGAGAAGAACAGGCACAGAACAAAATAACAATACATGTAGGAAGTGCACCTAAACTAAGGTGAGTACCCTACGGCATAACATGTCAACAACGTATTGATAACATTTCCATTATCAGCACAATTCGGCGTTGAAAGCAGCCCCCAACGTCGCGGGCAATTTTCTCATGTGGGTCATTCCAGTCAGCTTGAAAACACACAACTAGTCGACAGACGAATGCTGCAGATTGGATACAGTTGCAAAAATTGGTCTTCCTGCATCTGAGTGAAGGAGGATGCGTATCAAAAGATGCCTACGAGGGACGAAGAACGCAACTCGGTCCTGAGTTCTACCGTATGAAGCTCGTTTAGAACTATGTAACTGGACGAAGGATACACATTGCTACTCCAAACGTCTGAGGAGAGACACCTGACAATAGAACTCCTCAGCTCCAGCGAAAACTCAACAATCCAAAAATCCTCATACAAGGAACGTATAAAACAGCATAATATGTACGTAAGCTTAGCCGTAGCACCGGATTGGGTCCTTGCATCCCTTCTCTGCGGACTGCTTAAAGCCCATCCTGCCACCCTTAGCCAAATACTGCTGGTGATAGTTCTCTGCTCGATAGAACTTTTTGGCCGGAAGGATCTCGGTCACAATTTTCCGGTTCAAGGACCTCTGGTGGTTTTCGAGTGACTGCTTGGCTATTCTCTCTTGCTCAGGCGTGTAGGTGTAGATACCAGATCGATATTGAGTTCCAACATCACCACCCTGTGCAAATATATCCTCAAAACTTAAGTTGAAGTAAAATTCCCTGAAGAAGAACCACAAACAAGGAAAGAGGTTGCGAATGTAGTAGTATATAGATATAGAATAAGTAGAATACCTGTCGATTTAGGGTTGTGGGATCATGACGATCCCAGAATACACCGAGCAGAGTCTCGTAACTGACCTCCGCAGGATTATACTGCACCCTAACAACTTCAGAATGACCTGTTTTCATCAAATCATTTGCCCAGTGAGAAAACTGTTTACATGTAGCGTAATCTCTCCAACGAGAGAATGGTCAGGATTAACAATACTAAGACAACACTGCAATAGGAGCGCCCCAGATGTAGAATAAGATGCAGAAATTCCTCCCAGAAGAGAAAATATCCGGAGATATAAATATAAAGGCAGATCAAATAACATCCCAAAAGAGGACGGACCTAAACGATGTTGGAGATTAATTATAAGTCTAGGATGAAAATGTCTCTACGGTATGCTGTAACACTGCGTAACAGAGATGAAGTGTTCCCATACACTAACTTCATGAGAGATTTTGGCCATACGTACAAATGTTTTATTATTCCTCCGTTGACAGAGTGCAACATTTGAAATCAGCTGAGAGAGAAATAGTAAGCTACGACGTACAATCAGCCATATTGGAAACTTAAATAACTTCAATCTGCTACACCTACATTCCAAGAGACAAAATTCGTACACACCGTAACAGCTAGAGAGACACTTCTGCGTAGAAAACAAGGAGGCAGATCATCGACTACATGAAAACGAATACACGCACGAGCGCATTCATCATATTTCATGAATATTCGTGATTACTCCTTAGCGCGCAATCAGTCTCCAATCGTTCAAATGCAGCTTCAAATCAACGACCCACGAATAATTCATCGAATTGGAGAATGACTAAGAAGAGAATCAATTTCTACACCAACATACCTGTCATGCCCGAGCAGACGGCCTCATATGTGGGCATGTGCATTTGCCCTTGCGTGTAACCCACTTCTGTCTTGTACACACCTGGCACACGCTGATACGCGAGCTCCACGCCCCAGAAGCACCCAGCTCCAAAACATGCGAACTCGCATCCACTCACGGGTTTGTCATCGTCCGGACCCTGCGCAATCGCAACATCAGCAGGGTCGAAGTTCGCAGGGCCGTGCGAGCCGAGTCCCAACATTCCCAGAAAGCTGTCCATGGCTCTCACAGCAGTGACCTCCCTCTGCGACCCCTTGGCGAGAGATCCCTTAGTAACTTGACGGATCTTCAACCTCCGGTCGAAGAAGGAGGAACCCAATTGCGAGCTGCGAGTGGTGGAACAGGAAGAGCTGGCGTTGGCCCGCGCCGAGGCTACCACGAGGGTGCCTGCTGTTGCAGCGAACGATGTGGCCTGCGACATGGCTGCCAGTTTGCAACTACAACAAAATGTAACAAAACCGGCTCAACCGTGATTCACAAAGCAATTCAGAAACGTGTAGTGGTGTTTTTTTTTTCATGGATACAGTTTGATCGGCTTTGTTGGCGGTGTTTCTGCACCGCGAAATCTGGCTGGTTTTTGTGACTCAGATTGCACGGCATGTCGCTCTTGACAGGCCCTCGAATGGTGGATTTCTGCGACTAACCTGCAACATTCTGTCTTGCGACCACCAAATCTTTCTTAAAAGATAGATAGGCTGCAATACATACTTCCCATTGGTCCCATGAATTCACAGATATTGTGCTCCTGGAACCATTCCAGAACGTTGGCTCACAATAGATTTTTCATGCGTCGCATATAAAGTGATGGATATAATTTGCGTTGTACGTGGAGCTAGCATTTACCGCACACCAAAATCGATAAATGATGAAGGAAAACAAAATGGTTCTTACAAACAAGCATGGTCATCCATTCATTGGGTTCGTTTGATTGGCCACACAGAGTCAACAAGAGTAACATATTTTTTTCTGATCAACACCTTCGTTTCTTTCTGCTTGTCTAAGGCAAAGCACACAATCACAAAAACAAAAGATGCCAAATCAGCACTGGAACAGTTCTATAAGATTCAGTTGCAAAACATTATGATTGCTGCTCTACACAATGCCTCACCATTGAAATTAAAGGGATTAGACTCAGGATTTCGTTGCAACGTACAAAAAAAAGTTACAAGTGCTTTCTCAACAAGCGAGACTGTATGACAGCAACTGGGTACCATTCAAAATCCATTTTGGAGCCCATTTCCACTCCAAGGTTGGTAGCTACTAAAAAATGGTTGTCAAATGTGTGTTCACAGATGGGGGTAGTGATAAGATTGCAATGACACATTTGGTTCTAATCTGGGCTTTACACATGATTGCATAGAGATAAATAATAATATTAATTACAACCAATAATGGCAGATTTTTTTTGTATTCATAGAGGATTACTATCTAAAGCAACAAAGTGTACTATTTGGTAATTAAATTCAAAGGGCATAATAAATTTGCTTAATAAATGTAAGTATTATCAAAAATAAAAATAATTATAAGTGATTGGCACCTAATATATACTTACTCTCATTCTTCTTAATCTAAAGAACATAACTAAAGCATATATATATATATATATATATACATATATTTCACAAATGTACTAATTGCGTTTTAATATTCAATAAATGATATTTATTGAGAATTTTTAAATGATCTTATTTTTTGTTGTTTAAACAATATTATAATCTACTCTATGAACATAAAAGAGCATGAATTCCATATTTGTTATGTGTTACAAAAACTTAGACATATAAGATTATACATCAAGATGAAAAAGTTTATATTTTATGCAATTCAAGTTGACTTTTTAAGATATATTATTGCAAATGATGACTTTATGAGGAATCTTAAGAAAGTTCAAATTATTATATATTGAAATATTCCAAAAACAATAAGATACATCTAATATTTTTTGAAATTTTTTAATTACTATGAAATTTTTAAGTAGTTGAAATCAACTACAAAATACATAATAAAGAGCTTCTTGCAATAGTCAATTCTTTTAAAAAATAGTGTCAATATCTATGAGGTGCTTTTAGTTTAGTGATTGTTTATATAAATTATAAGAATCTCAAGTATTTTATATGAATATATGATTTAAATTCTTGTCAAGCTTTTTGAGCCTATTTTTATTAAAATTTATATTCATTATTACTTATCATTTGATTTATAAATTCTATATTTGTGATAGTAGATTGTTTTATAAAGATGATACATTTGGTTGTATGTACAAAATCTATAATAAATGAAAAAACAACTAAATTTTTTCTTGACAATATTTATTACTATTATGGATTCTTAAAGAATATTATATCAAATACAAGGATTCAATTTGAAACCAGTTTTTAAAAAATTCATTTTAAAAAACTAAATGTAGATATAAAACTATCTTTGGTTTTTTATTCCTAACCTAATAAAAAAATAGAATAGATAAATCAAGTATTTGAGAAATATTTGAAATGCATTATTGACTACCATCAAGATGTTTCAACAATTCTTTTGTGATTAGTAGAATTTATTTATAATAATATGGTATCTAATTCTATTTAATAATCACAATTCTATGGTAATTATTGTTATCATCCACAATTTGATATTTTTGACTTTTTTAAAGTTAATAATTTTGTGATAAAAGATTTAAAAATTATTTATCTAAACTACATGCAATAATGGAGGCTATCATAGTCATATACATTTATTTCAATAGTTACTTATATGATTAGGCAAAAAGAGGTAAATATAAAGGAATTTTCTTAATATCTTTTAAATAGCTTTTTAGAAGCTTCATAGATGCAATTTTGATTGTACACTTATTTATAGGTGATTGATAGGTTAGAAACTTGATTAGGAAGCTAACCACGTACCACACGTATTGGTAGCTTATAGAACAAGCTAACTATATGGCATACATATAGATATCTTGCCTTCCAAGTTAAGACATGTGTCTAACAAAGTCAACACATGTTATAAGTTTTATAGAATATTTTTATATAGCTCCTAGTTAGAAAGTATATATGGAAGCAAGAACGAAGCTTTTTTTACTCTTGTGAATGCTTTTTTAGTCATTAGACTTGTTTCAAGATATTTTAGTTTTCTTAGCTTTGGCAATAGTCATTCTAATTTAATACTATAACATCTTCAAGTGATTTTTTAATCTTTTGAGTGACATAAGAGTATATTAAACTTTTAGTTCTTTGAGATTTATATCCTTAACAATTTCATAAGAGTGTTAACTTATTGTTCTTATATTGTTTTAGAAGTGATTGAATTATCCCACTTCTAAAACAAATAGTTTAATTTTTAATACTATTTTTTTTCTAAATGAAAGTGAATTATCTTTTTTTATGGAAATTTTCATTTGATATTAGATGTTGTGGATTATCCTCTTTTAATTACACTTGTAGATTTGTTAAATTATTTGAAATAGAAGGAAAAATCATGGATGCTATATTTGATAAAAGTTAAAATAAATTTGTAATTTTTACAAATTTTTATAAGCTTGTTAATACTCTAGGAGTAGAAATTTCACATATTTCTAACTTGAATCATAGAAGTACTATTTCTATACATATAAAAGAAGTCTAAAGTCTATGCTAAGAAGTTGTACAATTAAAGAAAGTGAGTAGATCAGCCTCACAATCAAATTTAATAAGTCTTATTTTTTCAAGCAGCTAGAAGGCAATGATTAATATGCTCAAGAAGTTTGATCGAAGAAGATCAAAATTTTGAGGATTTTTGCAATAAGTTAAGCTCTATTTAAGATTGCATTCTTTCCAATATCCTAATGGATTTACTCAAGTAGGATTCATAAGTGTACTTCTATCAAAAAATGCTCTTTCTTGGTTTGTACCTTTAATGGAAAAAAATTTAAAACTATTTTTTAATTAGAATTCATTCTTGAAAGTATGTATGACTATATTTGAAGAAACAATAGAAAAAACTAAATTTATATTACTATGACAAGAATCACGTTCAACCACCATATATGTTATTAAATTTCAAAATCTTGCTTGTAATTTAGATTGAAAGAAAAAAGTCCTTATCAATCAATTCTGATATGGATTAAAGATAATGTAAAAGATTTATTATTAATAATTCAAAGAACAAATTTATTAAAGCAATTTATTACTGAAGCCATTGCATGTAATAATTGATTCTTTGAAAGATGTTAAGAGTAAAGATTTGGTTGGAGAAGCACAAATCAAGCTATAGTGATACCTTCTAAGTTTTCAAAAACTTACTTCTTTAGACCAAAGCCTATGCAAATTGATATAATACATTTTAAATCTCTTATTGAGCCAAAAAAGACTTCTTATTGTTAAAAAGGTTTTTCCTTATATTGTAGAGAATTCAAGCATATTATTCAATATTATCCAAAAAAAACAATGAAATCACAAAATGAAGAGCATGGTTATCAAAGAGGATGATATATCAAAAAATAAATTTCTCCAGCTATAATAGGAATGATATGATTGAAATCTTACTTAATACCTAATAAAGATCCTATTTTCTCCTCAAATCACTCACTTTGGAAGTTTATTTAGAACCAAAAAATCATAAAGTCATCTTTATTAGATTCAAAAGCCTCATCTTATTTTAGAAATAAAGACTTTGTCAAATAATAATAGATATTATTAGTCAAGAGTATTAAATCTATACATGTAGAAGTCATAGATGGTCATTTGATATCTTTTAGAGATATTATCTATGAGATTATTACTTTAGATGTAGCAATTAAAGATCATAATAACATAGTAATATTTAATGTGATAAGTTCTTCTTTTAATTTGATTATTTTAGGATTATTCTAGTTTAAAAAAATAATCCTTACATAGATTGGATTTTTCATAACCTTAACTTTTTTTGTAGTTTAATCCAAAATTTTATTAATCAAATAGAAATATATAAGTCTAATATATCCAAATCCTTACTAATAGGTGTAAAAGCTTTCATTACTATAGCAAAAAAAAGATCATCTTTTGTTATATACAATGATTCAAAAAATTGTTTCAATGTAAACATATTTTAGAAAGAATGATATATTATAGATGAATTATAGTGAATAATGACATATGGTTTGTATAGAAAATAAAATTTTCTTTTACAACTACCAAATGAGTCCAGATTGAAAAAAATCCTTTAGGTAATTGTAAAGCTATAACCAATCGAATTTGGAGTAGTATTGAAATAATTTTTTAAGTGTGATATCTAACTTTTAGATTCTATCAATCATTCAATATTACAGCATTCTAAAATCATCAAATTAACTATGAAAATATTATTACTAATCTAATGACATCATTAATGCTTACTAGCAGCTATAAAGTATCATTCTTAATCACAATTTCTAGCATAGACATATTCCAAATTATTACATTTTGGGACCTTCTAAAATCTTCTAAATTTTTTTAAAACCTTCTAGATACTTGTAGAATCTTCTACAATCTTTTAGAAAGTTCTACAAGCTTCTAGAAGCCTTTTTAGACTTCTAGAAGCTTCTTTAGACTTCAAAAAACTTCTATAGAAAGTACCATAAACTTTTATAATC